TTGTTGCTTAGTGCACTAGGTTAATGTGAGACACCACAGGATGGCAGACTGCTATTGCATACCCACATATGCAGCAGGAGGAAGTGACTGAATTCAACAACTTTTACCTACTCTGTAGTATTATAAATACTTTAGACTGGACAACTGCAATGCAATGGGGCTCCACTTTAAATCCACATGGAAACTATGGCTAGTGCAGAACATAGCACCCCATATAACAACTTACCATGAACATGTGACAGCAGCACTCAGGAGCTGCACTAGCCATACAGTGGCTTCTAGATAGAATTTAAGGTGGTGATTCTGACACACAAAGCCCTAACTTACCTGGGATCCTCTTAGAAAAGAGACTCTCTCCCTGGGACATACGTCTGAAGCTGAGGACAACAAGAGGAACTCAAGTTAACCTTTCCCCAATCCAGTATAAAAGGGGGCTGCTAGCAGAGGTTTTTTTTGTGTGTGATGTCGCTTTTTTGGAATATGCTCTCCTTGGTCTAAAATAACTAGAATATATTGAACTTCCAGTGCAGATGACCAGGTCATACTATCACCCAAACAAGACACCTTCCAGAGAAATGTACACCTACAGACTTTAAAGGTCTGCCTGGGAACAGTACAAGTCCTATGGTCGTAGGCTATAATTAGCAGCACAGGGAGAAGATTTCAGATTGTAGAAGGCTCTTTAACATGTGCCAATGGCTAGTTGCTGACACTAGATAAATTCAGGCCAGAAATACAGTAGATATTTTTTTAATAGTGGAATTAACCACTGGAACAATTTACGAAAGGGGGTAGTGGATTCTCCTTCACTTGAAGTCTAAGTTGAAATTGGATGTCTTTCTAAAAACAGGTTCTCAAACTTTTTTTGTTGATGGACCCCTTTTCAAATGCAGTGTTAATCTTGGTCCCCAACTGAGAAACTGGCTGACAAAAGTATAGGTGTACTTCATATAAACGTGTACTGTTAGTAATGCTTTAAGACAGTGGTTCTCAAACTGGGTTGGGATTCCAAAGTGGGTCACGACCCTTTTTAATGGGGTCATGAGGGCTGGCTTTAGACTTCCTGGGGCCTAAGCTGAAGGGCTTCAGCCCTAGGTGGCAGGGGTCCTCAGGTTATAGGCCCCCTGCTTGTTGCTGAAACCCTTGGGCTTTGCCCCCCTCCCCCCCCGCAGGGTTGTGTAGTAATTTTTGTTGTCAGAAGGGGGTTGCGGTGCAATGAAGTTTGAGAACCCCCGCTTTAAGAAAAAGTATAAGAGTAATTACAGGTATCAGTGGCATGGGTGTGCATGTCTTACTGCAGAGTGTATCTATTCTTGGTGTGATGGTTGACAAGCAAACTCGTATATCATTCTACACTTCCAGTCGGGACCTGAACTTTGTCTTCATAGCTGTCATGGCAGAGAATGATGCGTCACATATATATGTTTTTGGGAAAGGTAGCAACACTTTCATTGCTTCTGTAACTAAAACTGTGTACTCCACAGCAACAGTTAGCCAAAACTGGCAAGATGTCTGTTCCTGAAACTTAATTTTCACAATAGGTTGAACAGCTTCTGTTCTGCTTTTCCACTCAAATGGCAAGATGATATAGCAAAAGTTGAGAACAGAGCCTGAATCCAATCATATTTCTCCATGTTTATATATTTAAAGTAAACACTGAAGTATTCTGACAAAGTTGAAAAATGAGCAACAATCCTGTCTTTCAGACAGTCAATTGTCATGCTGTTTGGATCCAGAAATTCTGTCAGTAGTGGCAGATTCCACTGCTCAGTCTAGTTTTCTAAATATTTTCTTCTGAAATGCTGCAATCTTGTCACTTACCTCAAGTATGGTTGTATCGCCCCCTTGTGGGGACAAGTTCAGTGCATTCAACAAGTTAAAAATGTCTGCGAAGTATGCAAGCGTCACGAGCCATATTCGGCCAGAACAGTTTGTGGTGATTGTTGGATTGTGCACAGAAAACAAAACCAGCAGCTCTTTGCCAAGCTCAAAAACTCTTTCTAACACTCCGCTGAGAAATAGCCAACGCACTTTCATATGAAACTCTAATTTGTCATGTCCTGCACCCATTTCTAAACAGCTTTGCAAAAAGGTGTGAATGCAAAGGCCAGGACTTTACAAAATTGAATTTAGCACATCATGTAATTTGGGTTCCATTTTCTTTGATGCAATGGCCTTGTGATGCAACATACAGTGTGTTACAGCTACCTGTGGGTTTATGGCTTGTATTCTTGTTACAACATCATTCCTATTGTCTGTAATAGCGGCAGCACAGTTCATGAAAACAGCAACACACTTCAGCAATTCAGCTTTCATAAAATCATCCAATAATTTGAATATTTCCTGATCTATTATCTGTTTTGGTAACTCCTGACAAAAAAGAAAATCTTCCAAAATATCCCCCCCAGCCAAACATAACAAACAAAAACTAATAATTGTTCTGCATTACCAACATTGGTTGTCTCATCAAGCTGAACTGCAAAATGTTCACATATATGTAGCCTTTCAGTTAGTTGGCGTTTTACATCATTTGAAAGTTCTTCATTTCTCCTACTAACTGTATTGTTAGAAAGGGGGATGGCCTTAAGAATCTTCGCTTACCAGCACGTCACACATTTTTAAAGCAGCTGGAAGAATCATTTCTTCTCCAGTGGTATGGGATTTTTTATTCTTTGCAATCCGAAGTACTGTTAAGAAAGATGCTTTCAGATCCTTTTCCGGAACCATTGTTATGTTTGTCATTTGAGTTTTATTCGTCTTTCCTTTGTTGAAAAAAGTCTCTGGATTTATCTTTATACTCCAGGTGCCTTGTTGTGAGGTGTAGTTTCAAATTTGCTGATTTAATTGCTTCGTTTGATAGGATTTGTAAGCATACAATGCCTTGCGGTCATTCATTAATAAATTTGATAAAATCAATATAACTTCTATCAACTGTCTATTATTTGTTTCTTACTACTTAACTCTGGATTGTTCATGGCTTACTTCAATGCAACTAGCAGTACTAATATGAGAATTTTTTTAAAAACTTATCCATTTTCAATGTAATTTGCTCACACACTGTAAAAATATATTCCACTTCCACCTGCCAAAGAGCGCTCAGCCATCAAAAACACTGAGGTCACGTCTGATTTGCTGTCGCAAAGCAGTGAGATTTTTTTACGTTGATGCTTATACAATGTGAGTATTACGGCATTGTTCGTGCACCATGGCATATGTTGTGTAAACAGAAATAGTAGATTTGTTAGTTTTAATCGTTAGATGATGCAGACATGCAGTGAGATTTTTTTATTTTTTCGTAATATTTTGCAGTCTCAGGACCCACTGGGGTCCTTGGAACCAAGTTTGAGAATCGCTGTTCTAAAAGATAACACTCTACCTCAGCCGCAAGAGAGAGGTTTGATTACAGGATGATGTTATCTGACCTATGTTATGCAAAAGATCAGACGAGCTGGTCATGATGGTCGCTTCTAGTCTTAACAGCTAGGAAACCATCCTCCTCTACAAGAGTTAAGTCTGGAGCCAGGTCCCATACATGCTCTGAAGGTAAGTACAGCAGTTGGGACAAACCTCATAGAAACACTACACGTGCAGTGCTGTAGTCAAATATTATATGTGCTTAGGGACTTCTCAACAATGACTGCAGAGCACAATTAGGCCCCTATCTCCTAATCAACAAGAAAAAGAATATTCAGCTTCTGATGCTGGAGAGTGAAAACAAAACCAATACACATATCAAAAAGAAAGCAATAATTAGCTGATCCTCTATAATACCACTTCTCCCCAAAAGGGCACTATGACAGGTACAACTGCCTGCAGGGCCAGCTTTGGCTTTTTTGCTGCCCCAGGCATAAAAGCCTCCCACCACGCCCTGCCCGCCCCGGCGGGGAGTGCAGCAGGGGAGGGCGCCGAGCCCGCCGCGGCCCCGCTCTCCCCGGCAGCCGGAGCACCGGGGGGAGGACGGCAAGCCCGGCCGGGGCCCCGCTCTCGCCGGGTGAGCACCGCCCCCCTCCAGGTGCCATCCCAAGCACATGCTTGGAGAGCTGGTGCGTGGAGCCGGCCCTGACTGCCTGGGACTTGATGTCCCTGTTGTGTGAAGCTCTGCCAAGACCCTGTTAGACTCTTTGATAGGAAGAGGAGTTGTGAATCTCAGCAACAGTGTTTGGTCATGGCAGTCAGAGGGCAAGTGGCAGCAGAGCTGGCGCTAGGCATAAGCAGACTAAGCAATTGCTTAGGTCCCAGAGCAGCTCAAGAGGGCCCTATTTGCTTTTTCAATGGGGGGGGAGGGGGATGACAAAATATTCCTGCTTAGGGCTCCTAATGGACTAGCATTGCAGCTGAATGCTACGTTCCATAGCATGCAACTCAAGGAACGCGATCCTATGCCTCCATCCGTGTGAGATTATGGGATAAAACACATCCTGGAGGCACCAAATTCAGAATGTCCCCTCAAATAAGGAGTAGGGCAGTGTTCACCATTCCCCACTCCATATGTGTGAAGGGGAGACTCCCCTTCCCCACCCATACCCTCCTGGGGGGGCGCGACAGAACCCCCCTAGCTAGCTAGCTACTCATCTGGCCCTCATCCCACACTATTCGCCCCTCAGTAGCATTCGTGGAGGTGAGCCTCGCACGCCCTGCTGGGGTAGGAAGGCAGCGGCCCCATTTCAGAGGGGGACTGAAGTACAGGGTAGACCTGTCTAAAGTCACACAGGGATGGGTGTTGCAAAGCCAAGCCCTGCAGCCGGTCTCCCCATCCCATCCCTCCCAGATACATAACCACCAGCCCACCACCCCAGGGCGCGTGAGGCAAGGACCTTCCCGCCGCCCACAGCCTGTGTGAGGCAGACAGACGCCCCCCCACTCATGGGGTGCCTGGGAGGAGGAACCCGCATCCCCTCTCCTCGGGAGGCGGGGCAGGGCCCCCCTTCTCTTCCCGCGGGGGCCCCATTTCAAGGCTCCACTCGTCTCCCCTGGCGGCCCCTTCGGGCAGCGCCGCGGTTTCGGGGGGGGGCTGTGCGATGTAGCACCGGGGAGCCGGTCGGAGCGGGATGGCGGAGGCACCGTCCGGCCGCCTCAGCGCCCAGCCAGGGGCCGCGCCTCCCCCTCCCGGCCCGCAGGCGGCGGCTCCAGCCTCCGAGCGGCTCGGGGAGCAGGTACTGTGGGGGGCGGGATAGGCGCCTGCGACCGGCCTGAAGCCCTGTGCGGGCCCGGCAGGCACCGCCCCATCCCCTGTGCGCGGCCCCGCTGGCTTCCCGGCCGGCGCGGCGCGGCCGGATGTGCTGAGCCCGCCTCGGCCTTGACAGGCGCGTCCGGCTGGGCGGGGAGCAGGTAGGCCCGCCCCATGCCCGGGGAGCGGGGGGCCGAGGCCGGGGCGGGGTATGACCGGGGGGCCGGGCTGCTACGGGATAGCGAAGACGGGAATTCACAGCCCGGGAGCTGCTGGGGGGCCTGGGGCTCAGTCCCGGACCTGTGTCCAGGCGGCTCCCCCGCTCCATGGCAGTGCACAGCCGAGCTGCGAGCTGCCCTACCACGGTGTAGGTACCGCAGTTCTTCTAGGAAGCACTAAATGCCTTAAGAGCTGCCTACTCGAGAGACTCCCTCACGGTGACGTGCTGCTGCCCCGGGGGTCGGTGGAGGCACTCCGGCTGGCACTCAGGGCAGGACATTTTCCATGAGTTATCCCAGATTTTCTGATTCACGTCCCCCCACCCCTTGGGCCGAAATCACCTGACTCTGTTGGCCTTCATGGGCACGCCCCACAACCTATCATTTTTGGAGGGTTTGGGGGAGGGAAGACTGAAGGGCAGGATGTTGAGGATAAGGATCTTGACTTAAAACCAGAAAAAAATACAACTTTAAGAGAGCCTGCTGTTTTATTTATTTAATGGATCTGAAAGGTGCTTACAGCTTTAGTGCTTTTTATGTTTATGCAAATAAAATAGTAAAACACTAACTACTATCAACAATTTAGTCCTTTGAATGTGGGTTCTGCCAGAGGATTCCAAACCATTTATGATATATTCTTTGCTGTTGTGACAGTCTGTTTTCTACCTCACGAGAAAATCAAATATGAAAAATAATAACCTAAAATCCCTCCTTCTGTTAATTTTAATGTTCCTGAGTTGAAGCTCTCTCTACTTTAAAAGGTTTCTTTAATAGAAATTAAAGAAGTGTCTAACCCACACCAAATTTAAAGGATCAAAGCAGTTCTTTCTTTAGCTCTCATTTTTCTTTAACCATGGCTCACCTGATCCTGCTTTTACAGTTTTATTCCTAAGAGACAATTAACTCACCTACCACATCTCTCACTCTGGTATCAACACAGTTATAACATCACTGCAAACAAGTTTTATTCCTGTGATTTCAGCCTCACTCTCATATGCTGTCACAGGACTTTTCAGAACTTTCTTATTCTAAGCTCCTGGCTGGAGTCTTCTCCTGCTAGTCACATTTGGCCATGGGGCAGGATAGTCATAGACTTTTCACCTCAAATTCACTTACTCCTACGCTCCTCTGCAGTTTGACTTTTTAAAGCTGCTGCCACCACCACAGCATTTCTTATCTACCTGAAAGGCAAGGCAGAAGTCTTTATATGGATAATGCACTTTTAGGTAGAATACCACCAAGCTGAAGTACAGTGAAATCCAGGTAGATTTATCAAGTACCAGAGATCTGGCTTGATTTAAGTAGTTCAGGAATTTGCTGCCTCCTAGAACCTGAGTAGAGCTCTTTAGAACTTTCTCTCATGACCAGTAGTCTGAAATTGGAAGTGGGCAGGTGGTGAGGGTTTTGTGTTTTTTGTTGGGAGGAGGGGGGAGAGAGAGAAGGAGAATCTTGTGGGTGCTGTTTGTACAGTAGCTATCACAACCAGGACTGAACGAGCCCTCTGTGCACTTCGTGGTGGACACCTTAGAAATACTATAGAAAAGTACAGCAGGGGACAGGCTTCTCTTTGCACTCTTCACCTGACACTAGAAATATTTATTACTATTTATTTAGGAAAAGATTGTCAGATTCTTGTGTCTTTACTCATGATTAATTGCACTTTGAAAAAAAATAATTATTTCTGTATTTCCCTCTTTCCTTTTAGTCTGGGTAAGATGCCAAAGCTCCAGGGGTTTGAGTTCTGGAGAGAGACATTGAGAGGTGCTCACTATGTAGTTGCTCCTATGGTGGATCAGAGCGAACTAGCTTGGAGACTATTGAGCCGTCACCATGGAGCCCAGTTGTGTTACACACCCATGCTGCATGCTCAGGTCTTTGTCAGAGATGCCAATTACCGCAAAGAGAATTTATACTGTGATGTGTGCCCTGAGGATCGGCCACTGATTGTGCAGGTAAAGCCATTAAAAGGAAGTTTAATTTTACAGTTTAAGCTCTGTAGAGCTAGTCCCTGTCTTAATGTATGTTCTTATGACATATTTTGGGAGTTACCATAATATAAATAACTTTGAGAGTATGTTGCTCCAGAATACTTATTTATAGCCCTTTACTTGAAGTGCTGTACAAACATTAACTCATGCCATATACCTGAAATTATTACTGAGCTTATCTGTAAGAAGAATTCTCACCCCTAGAGTCTTGCCTATTCCATGAAGAGATAGTAATGGAGGACACCCCACGAAAGAACTTTCAGGGTATAAACAGAGCAGTGTATTCTTGAGAGAAGTAAACAAGTAAGAGCAGGGAAAAGGTATACAGAACCTTCTGAAATGAGTGAATCTGGGATTTGTTTGATGACTGTCAGCTTAGGTCTTATTTAAAGTTTCCTTATTAACTTTAGAATTAAAATTGGATATTTAAAATTTAACTTTCCCTTGTAGCAGCAGTGATACACCTTCCCCATTAAGGTATGCTGAGTTTCCTCTTTGGCTGGACAAGTAATTTGGTGTCCCGAGGTCTAGCCCAGTAGTTCCTAATTTTGATTCATCCTTATTTAAAAAAAAAAAGGAAAAACCTCATGTATGAAATACCACTTTTTTGTGTACATCTGGTTTGGGCTTTCCTATAGTAAAAAACTCAAGGAATCCTAAAACATTAGATTACAACATCCTTTTAAAGCATCTCAGGTTTTTAAGATAGTGAATCAAAAGTCAGCAGCAATTATTTGCCTTTGTTACTCAAGTTACAAGAAACAAGTGTCATAAGTGACATCTTGATATATTTTGGTCTGTTGCTGAACTAAGTCAATGGCTTGAATTTGACTTACCTAACTTGAAGTTCCTCCTAATCCTTATTTGGAGAATTGTTGAACATGAGCCAAAGTTCACTTTGCTTGCCTTTTTACAAAATTTAAATAAAGAAAAATACGAAGTATTGAGTAGCACTGAATACTAAAAAAGTACTATGATGAGACGGGTGTGCTTGCTTCACACAACACAGTTGCTTTATGTCAGATGAGAGATTGGTTTGCTTCAGTCATAGGTCCAGTTCTGCCCTGAGGTTCATCCTGTACTAGCTATTAATGGCAATCAGGGCAGAAAAGCCAGTCTCGCAGAGATATGTAGTGCTGAAAGGCATCAGAAGTTTCAAAGTTCATTCCTATAGAAGGATAAACGCCTCTCTACTGCTCAACCAAAAGCTGCCTGACCGCACTTTGTTAAAAGTGAGAGAGTCCAGCATCATGTGACCATTCCATCAACTCCTCCTTTATTGACACACTATCTGGCATTATGTCGTCTATTGAAAATAGGTCCTCAAGCCTTACCTGGGCACTAGGCAACTTCAGTTCCAATTTACTCTTGTTACAAGGCTTCAGGTTCCCAGTTCCCTCCAATCCAGGGAGCTCTACTAGTCCCCTTACAGCTTCTGGCTTCTCTGGAGAGTCTCTGCCCTGCTCCCTGCACTCAACTCCTTCCCCCTTGGCAAAGGGATCCTACAGCCCTCCTTGATGGGACTATGTTGCAATTCAAGCAGGCTTCCCCAGCCCACCAATGTCCAGGTTCCAGCCCTGCTCCACAGGGTCTCCCTTGGTCCTTGAACTCACATTTCATTCCCTTGGTTCAGGTCCCCCACCCTTCTTCTTGGGGTTGTGATTCATATGGGCTTCCCCAGCCCACCAATCTCCTCTCTGGGTTCCATCCCAGGGATCCTCTCTTTCTGGGCTATCTGCCCACTCTCTCCTCCTGCAAGTTACCCAACAGCCGGGTTTTGTCATGTTAAGGCGGTACCTGATTAACACCTGGCCTCCTTCCCCAGCTAGTCTGGTGCTCCCTTGCATAGCTGTTTCCTTAAAGGGCTCATATGATGAACAGGGATTGACTGACTCCAGGTCCTACTACTCTTTAAAGGGCACAGACTGCCTTGTTACAGGATAACATCTCCAAAAAGGTCACATCAGTTTGGAAACCTCTGCTCTAGTGTTTTGGGTTTGTCTAGCTAAGTCATCAGTTTTCTCCTTTTTAGGGTATAAAAGTTTTCTACATAGCCTCTTGTTGGGTCACAGCCAGTCATCCAGGCTCCATAATTATCACACCTTACTCCAGCTCATAGCTTCCTTCAGCCCCTTCCGAGGGCTCAGCAGTCCTTCTCCCCCTACCTCTACAGTAGAGGGATTTCTGACCCACCTCAGTAGGTGACACCACAGGGTGTAGCAAGCACAATTCCCCAGGCCTTAGTGTCAAGACCTTAATAAGTGAAGCAGCCAAGTGCTTTGATCTCTATGATCACTTTGTCCCCAAAAGTGTTTCCTACGGAGCTAACTTGCCTGGGAGCTATAGCTATTCTTCATCAACCCTTATTACTCCAGTACCTTCCATCATACTGCTTCTTTTGTCAGCTCACCCTCCTACTGACTGCAGGCTGCCTTTATATCTCCCAGTAGACCTGGTTCTCAGTTGCATGCCCTGGGAGGTAAATCAGGCACAGGTGAGACTGAACCCAAACTACCATACAGAGCAATTTTACCCTTAACAGCCTCTGTTATGCTGTTTGTTTGGTTTTTATATTTTATTCATTTTGGACAATGAACCTTACTAGTCTGTTTTCAGTTTTAATCATCAAACCATTTTTGTCGTTAGCATTGGGCTTTGTAAAACCTGTTTAAAATTACTACATTTGGAGTCTAAACTATCTGACTGAGTCCCCATTAACAAAACAACACAAAATGAAAACACACTTGCTCTTGATGACTTGATATTTTGTATATGTTAAATACTAATTCAATCTGAGACTATGAACAATTAACCAGTAGCATATTGTATCTGTGTTCCACATTCTGCACTGGTTAACAATCCACCTGTGGAAAGTAATGTTGATGATTGGTATCTACAAAATCCTGATTGGCTCAGGATCCAGTTACCTCAGAGACATCCTTTTTTCCTCTCTTCTGCTAACCACCTATGTATATCCAGAATGCTTCAATTGTTTATTTCAGGTAGCTATGGATAGTGAATCCTCTCCTTTGGAATCCATTCTCACCTGGCCTTGGCACATATAAAATGTGTTATAAAATGCATCACTTTGTCCAGGGTTTCTTTTGACTTTGGCTCTGGAATGCTAAACTTTCTGAGTTTTGGTGGGAGCTTTTCTGGAGATGGGGAGAGTTATTTAAAGTTGTGGCTCTGCAGCAGTTGCATGTCAAGGATTATATATTCCTTTAATTTGAGAATTAGTCTCTGCCTCTAATCTAAGATCCATAAATTGTAGCCATACACTATAGCAATGAGGTCCTTTATAAGTGGTAGTAATATTTTGTCAGTACTTGAAATTGAGCCTTGCCTAACTTGTTACTTATGTACATCTTTCTCAGTTCTGTGCCAATGACCCTGAAGTGTTTGTCCAGGCTGCACTGTTGGCTCAGGATTATTGTGATGCCATAGACCTGAATTTGGGTTGCCCTCAGATGATTGCAAAGAGAGGTATGTGCAAATCTGAGCTCTGAATTAACAAAGCAATGACATGTTGCACGTCTAAACTTACCCTATGGCAGTGCAACATCCTGTGGACCAAATCCTGCCTTGATGTGCCTGGCAATTCTGTTGAAATCAGCAGAGTTACACCCATTTTAACCAGGATTGGGTTTGGTACCTTGTAAGTAACTGAAGCTAAAACTAGTTGCTTGAAGTGTAGTTCTACAAAGCACTGCTAGCCAGCTTTTGTGTGCAGAATATCCATCCAAAAAGTGTCATTTGACGTGTTTAAAAGGGTTTAATAAAGCCTTCCACCATCGGAAACTAGAAAATGTTGATTTTAATTATTCAGTCAAACTTCTTAAGACTTCCTTTAAAATAATCTCTTGCAGGCCAACATTTGGGGTCTCCTTTGTCCCCAGTGCACATACAGAACTTATTCACATTAACTTCTAAGAAAATGAAAGAGTTGCAGGAGGGTTAAGGAGATTTCAGGGATATCTGTGGGGGAAAAGAAACAGATATCCGGAATTCTGGGCTAGGTCAGGGCATTTTAGCTGAGAAGAAAAGGGAGGAACCAAAAGTTTGCTAATCATCTTTTCCTCAGTTCAATTTCCTGAGCACAAGTTGTTTCTTAAGGGTTAAAAAAATATGGAGATATACCTATCTCATAGAGCTGGAAGGGACCCTGAAAGGTCATCAAGTCCAGCCCCCTGCCTTTACTAGCAGGACCAAGTACTGATTTTTGCCCTTGATCCCTAAGTGGTCCCCTCAAGAATTGAACTCACAACCCTGGGTTTAGCAGGCCAATTCTCAAACCACTGAGCTATCTCTCTCCCATACATTAGCATCTATAGACAATAGACCCTTCAGTTCTGCCAACCTTAAACCCACAATGAATACCAGTTCTAAAACCCTGAAAATAGACTTTGAACTGTCAATACATTGGTCAGCCTTAAGGAGAACTAGAGAGAGCAGGGTGTGGGGTTTCATTGTTTAACCTGTGAATCTGGGGTACCATGGGAAGCAGAATGATCTAGCACTTCCAATTTGGGCAGAAGAGTGGAAGTGTGTGTGTGTGTGTGAAACAGAACCCTTTAGGATCATAATTTTGTCTGTCTGTGCCAGCCCATAATGTGTTATTTTGTTACAGGTCATTATGGAGCATTCTTGCAAGAGGAATGGGCTCTTCTCCAGAAAATGAGTAAGTCCCCAAAAGGGACTTCATTAACTGAGGTCTCACTTTGGGAGAGAGTGGGGTGGGGACATAATATAGAGGAAATTTAGTGGGTATTTTATTTTATTTTTTATTCTGGTAGCCCACACTGGCGCTGACCACACATACAAAAAAGACCCAGACTGTATTGGCAATCCTGAACAGGCCTTCTACTTAGCCATGATTAGTGGGGTGATAATTTCTCACAAGTATCATGGTAGAGGTGAGTCTTGAGAAGAGGATGGTGACTTTATAGGCCAGTTCAGAGGGGCATTCCATGCATGAGGGATAGCATGGAAAGAAACAGACATTTTTGGGAGAGGTAGACAAATGGAGATCAAGGCTGGCATTGTGGGTAGAGCAGAAGGAACAAGGGTTGACTTGATAAGAATAAAGAGTGAATAAGTAAGAAAAATGAGCTGTTAAGGGCCTCGAAAGTAAGGAGAATGAGGACTTAATATAGTGGAAAGGAAGGAGGAGGCGCAGTAAATTAATTTTCAGCATTTAATGCCTTTCCTATTGCAGTTCAGGTTTTGACTTCACTCTTTGCTGCCACTCCCCTAGTCTGTGTAGACATACAGACAGTGCAGTATAAATAAGGCTATGATTTAGTCACAGGTATTTTTAGTAAAAGTCATGGACAGGTCACGGGCAACAAACAAAAAGTCATGGCCTGTGACCTGTCCATGACTTGCACTATATAAATGCCTGGGCATCTCCTGCGGCTGCTGCTCCGGGGTGAGGGGCAGCCCGGGGTCCCACCGCTGCTGCTCCCAGACAGTTACTTGGGGCCACCCGAGCAGCAGCCAGAGCAGCTGGCCCTGGGGCAACCTCAGCTGCTCAGGTGGCCCTGAGGTCAACCGCACCAGTTGCTGCAGAGGTCCCAGAAAGTTATGGAATCCGTGACCGCCGTGAAAGACTCACAGCCTTAAGTATAAACAATACAGTTGTCGCAGGAGTGCTGGCTCGGTAGGCCATTCTGTAGCACAGATCTTGGGGAGAATAGACTCTCTTCAAAGCATTTTGTAATCCACTTACCTGTCTTTTCAATCCTTCCCCAGTTTTGCTTGCTCATGAGAAGCTCTCTGTTCCCATCACATGCAAAATCCGTGTTTTCCGAGAAATTGACAAGACAGTGAAGTATGCACAGTTGCTGGAGAAGGCTGGCTGCCAGGTAAGGAGGCAGCTGCTTTCAATACTATTGCATTAGACATAAATATCTTTATAAAGCACCTTCATCCAAAGATCTCTGTGTTTTGTGGAAACTGATAGGTTATATTAATTTGCAGATAGAGAAAATGACACAGAGAGTTGTGACTTATTCATTGTCATACACAGCAGAGTCAATAGCAGAGTCAGCAATAGAACCTGAGTCTCCTAACTTGGAGTGCCCTGCTCTAACCATTGCACCATGCTGCCTCCTGCACTGGAATTGAGAATTCTAGTCTAGGCACAACGCTGTAGGAGGCAACATGAAAGTGTGAAATCAATGTGTCTGTGAAGGGACACCTTGTAGCAGACACAGCCAGTAACAAATGAGAAATAGGAGGATTTCCTGGGATTTAACTCCAATTAAATTGTACAAATTGGGAGGGACCATCAAAAACGAGATAATATAACAGATGGTGGCCTGGCCTTATGCCCAAAAGCAGCAGGTTTAGCTATGTTTGTTACTTGTTCCAAAGTGCATACCAAATCAGTAAGAGAGCTGAGGATACAGGAATGCTATAGAATCTCCCAGGAAATGTCTGTGCCTTGTTAAGGAGTGGAGAGTTCAGAGATGCCCATGTCCTTGCCACAGTATGTGAGCTGGTGGCATTTCTGGGTCCAGAGTCCGCACAGTGGTCGAGGTAACATTGGGAGTTCTGTGGCATCCCCGTACATGAGCAGAGGGGGAAATTTCCTGGTGTAGCTTTTTTTGTTTCTAATGATCCATGTACATTGAAAATTAAATGAAACTTTGCATCCTAGCTACTGACTGTCCATGGCCGCACTAAGGAACAGAAGGGACCTCTTGCTGGTGTGGCATCCTGGGAGCATATTAAGGCTGTGAGGTAAGTGCACCTGTCCAGATATCAACATGTGAGTGCATTGGTGTGCATAGTCCCCTTAACCCTATACCCAAGGGTTAGACAAGCTTCTGGCTAAACACATTCAGTTTCAGTGTAAGGTTTGGATCCAGAACGTGGTGCAGGGGGATCAAAGGGGAAACAGGGATTTGTGATAGCATTAGAAGTTTCTGATTCATTCAACACATTGTGAGCATGTTGGTTTCTGTTTTCTGATTCTTTGTTTTGTGTGATTGTTCTCTTCACTTGTGTAGGAAGGCTGTGAGCATCCCTGTGTTTGCAAATGGAAACATCCAATACCTCAGTGATGTGGAAGAGTGTATGCAGAAGACAGGAGTGCATGGTGTCATGAGTGCAGGTAAGGAGAATAAACTTTCTTCTATAATAACTTTGTTTCTGAATTCCCTTGATGGATCCATGTTAGCCTAATCTATTAGAAACTAAAGCCAGACTCAAGTGTGGTTGGTTGAATGGCCTTGATTTAAAGAGGACTGCTCTTCATCTGCATCTCCCTCATACTGGCATCTCTTATTAAAACCAGGAATCGCTGTATAATAACAGTTGCTGTACTGGACTTCAAATAGAGTGGATGATTCAAACTTTATTGAGTTTAATTGGTTAGCACAAGCTTTTCAGTGCTGTATTGCCCTAGAATAGTTCAGAGCCATTAGGGTGAAACCCTGACCCTGCAAGAGAGTGTTCTATGGTGAATTTTTCTGTTAATGTTCTGTAATCTGTCAGAGGATGTGAAATGCAAGTATCAGTAACTGTGTCCCATCAACTGTCTGACTATTGTTTCCCATGGCAACACATGGGTAAGTATTCTGTAATGTGCATTTAACAATCTGGCTCTTTAGGGCATCTTCTCCTAAGTACAGTGCCTTTTGCTTAAATTGTTCACTGATTAATCTGGTCAGAATTTGAGGAATCAAAAATAAAGTGGTTGCCATTTATACTGATCACTTTTAGACATAAGTTATTGAATGACTCTGTCACTAGTTATAGAAAATTGTCATAATTATGAACAAGAAAGAAGAGACGGGAGGCCAGAACAGATTCATATAAAAGATATTGTTCAGACACTGTTTTTAGCACTATAAGCAACACAACTGATCAAGCTGCAGTATGCACCTTCTTAATCCTATGAATAAGATCATATGCTTGTTTCAATCAAAGAGATAGGAATAGACTTGGATGAAATAAACAGAAGTCAATAGTCCATAAATAGACTGAACTTTATCTTAGTGCTGAGCTTTGGCCTTTGGAGGGAGCGATCTGTCACCGTTCCTGAGGTAACTGCACTTCTGACCCCTTCGTGGCCTCCTTGAGGGCACCACACTTAAGTGTCAGGCTTTGAGCTGCCACCTTTCTTGGGATGGTTTCCCATGACTCTCACCCTCTTGACTGGGGAGTTAGGCTGCAGTTTCTTTGGCAATTCAGTGTGTTGACCTTCGCAGATCTGGTTTTAGTTCAACACCTACAGTCCTGTTCTCACAGAGGCAATGACAAAGTTAATCAGGAACGAACCAGCCTACATAAAGCAAAGTATTATTTATTCAGAACATACAGAGAAAATAACTTGAAAACAATAATTATCTCATATGGAGGTCTTAGCTTATCAAGCAGTCATCCATCTTCCACATGGAGACCCTGATAGGAACAAAGTACTTCAGGCCCTTTCTGCAGAGTCTGGCACCCTTTGTCACAGTTTCATGTCAGGTCCTGGGTCAAATAGGTCCTTCCCTATGTCAGGCTGGTCACTTATACAGTTTTCATTTCTTTGTTTGATCTCTTGAACCAGGTAAAACTAATATATGCAATTTCCCCAGGAGGTGAGGCTTCTGCAGGCTTGTTACTTGCCTAGGTATGTGCATTAATTATCCTCCAGTGTTTTTGGTACCTCTGTTACATCCCCTTGGAGCCAGAATACATTTCCTAGTCCATCAACATATATATAACATTTATAAAGTTGATAATCTTTGCATCTTCCAAGTGTCCATTATATCTGTCACTCTGTCATCCGGACAAATCCGTATATAAAGGTTTTAATGTATGGTTTCCAGAGGGCTGAGGTGGGAAGTGTCAGAAGAGAAGACTTGTTCTGGGCCTTTCGTTTTTGTCTGTTGAGTGACTCTGTGGCTACTGGTTGGTGTTTGGCATTGTTGCAAACAGAAGGTCTTTAGGGTATTGTTTAAGACGGGGCAGCATTAGGTTCCTTCACTATAATACTCATTGTCCTGCTGGCCTCTTACTTCTTACCTGAATGCTTGCTTCCTCCTTTAGAAAGAGCAGCCCGTTCCAAATACTTGGCACTGTCTGTTGGATTATCTTATGACTTCCATTAAAGCAGCATGATTTAAAAGAGGGTAAAATTTTCAAAAGCATCTAAATGACCTAGATGCCTAAGTCCAATTTTCAAAAGTGATTTGGGCACTTAGACCCAGAACCTCATAGGTATTTACGTACTGAACTGCCATTGAAGTCTGGGCCTTTGGAGCCTAAGTCAGTGGTACTTAGGCTTCTAAGTGCCTAACTCACTTTTGAAAATGGGACTTTGGGCTTGTCTACAGGGAAGGAAGCCCAGAATAGCTAGTACAGAATAGCTGTTCCCCACGTGGACACTCTGCTGCTGGACTGAACAGTGCCTTTTTGCAGTGGTTTAACCAAAACTCCAAAAAGGCATTCTTCGCACAGAATAAGAGTAGTCACGTGGGAAGCTAGTGCAAAATAGCTAGTGGTTTTAAATTCCCACCCTAGCTATTTTACACTAACATCCCCATGATTTACCATGTAGACAAGCCCAGAGGTGCTTTCGAAAATTGTACTCGAGTTCCAATCCTGGCTCTGTCATTGACTCCTTATTTGAGAATGGGCAAGTCACTTATCTTCTCTGCTTCAGTTTCCCCTTGAGTACCAGTGGGATAATGATACTTACCTCATGTTGGCTTGTAAGGATTGATTAGTTACAATGTTTTATATTTTCAAAGTGCTTTACAAACGTTAAAAGTACCCTATTACTATTGGTACATCTACAACCAACAAAGGCTTTCCTCTGAGACAGCACCACTTAGATGTGTGAGGTGAAGGGTTATTTACTGATCGGGGGGATAAAATTAATGATTTTATTTAAATTGATTTTAAAATTTAAATTAGATTTTGTTTTTTACATGTTGCTAGTTCTTACTTCCCATTTTATTGTCTTAAATTGCTAAAGTGAATGTTTTATACTTGTTTCTTTAGCTTCCTAATTATTAGTAGAATTTCAGATTTTACATTTTTTTTCTGCTAAGAAGTTCAACCCTTAAGAGTGTTCATCTATGCTGAAAAAGACAAGTCTGTGACCTTATTAACTTATTTACTCTGAGGAAAAACAAACTGAAACACAAAAAATTAAGAAACAGATAATCCATTCTATATTTGCAACAAGCACAACCTTCTGATACCTATTGAACGTCCACAAGTCAAGACAGCTGAAATGCTTTGACCACACCAAACTCCTCCTAAGTCACTTAAGTACTTCTGAAAATCGCACCCGTAAGTGCCGAACTATGGGTTTAGGAGCTGAACTTTAGCCGCTTAGTTTGAAAATTTTGGCTAGATGTGTAAAAACGTTTTCAGTAACTTTTTGTTAATGTTTGAGTCTAAGTAACTTATTGTTAATACTGAAGCAAATTTGTTTTGAGGTGACATATATTATATCATTAAGAAAAAGGTTTTAATAAAAGTAAAATTATAACCATTGATGCTTTAAACATTTATGCACATGCTTAACTTCAAGCATATGAGTAGTCTCATTAAAATCAATGGGACTGGTCTTGTGAGTAATGTAATTTACCTCCTTCAGTGTTTGCAGGATCAGGTCCTTTAGGGGTTTTTTTATTTATATATATATGGATGGATGGATTTTACAAAACTGCTAAGTAAGATGCTCTACTGTTAATGCCATTTGGAAAGCAGCATTTATAATTTAGTTTATTGTGGATTTTAATCTATTGGTGAAATAACAAAATATTTAGTTTGTTTTACAAAACCAGTTAAAAAAACCAACAAAAACCTAAGGCCTAGATTCACAGAAGGACTTAGGTCCCTAAATCCCAGAAGCAGGCCCCATGGGAGAGATTCAGAGCCCCACATCAGACTGTCCAATAGCCCAGTGGCTAGGGCACTCACCTCAGAGGTGGAAGGTCCTGTTCAAATCCCTTCTACCCCTGAGATAGAGGGAGGCCTTAACTGGGGGTCTCCCACATCCCAAAGGAGTACCCTAACCACTGGGCTAAGTGTTGTGAGGGAAGTTCTCTCTCCTCCCCCTCCTCCTGTTCCTACTTCCAGCCCCTGTTATAAAAATGTCATAGGAACCTAATTTCAAGATAGGCTTTGCAACAGACAATCCCAAGCATTGAGAGACTTGAAAAGCTCTATCTGTTTACTTATCAAAAAACAGATTGAGTGGGGACTCAATTACATTTCTTAAGGGGAGAAAATACTGAGTACTAAAGGGCTCTTTAATCTAGTGGAGAAGGCATAACAAGGACCAATGGCTCAAAACTGAAACCAGACAAATTCAGATTAAAAATAAGGCACACATTTTTAAACAGTGAGAGTGATTAACCATTGGAACGAACTATCAAGAGAAATGGTAGATTCTTCAGGTCTTGATGTCTTCATATCAAGACTGGATACCTTCATGGGAGATGCTTTAGCCAAACACAAGTTATTGGATTCAATACAGGGGTAACTGAGTGAAATGTAATGGCCTATGTTATACAAGAGGTCAGATCTGCTGATCTAATAGTCCTTCCTGGGTGGTCAGGCCAGGCCAGGACACGGGTGGTCCAGCTCATGGACACAAGAGGTTGTGCCACCTGCTTTACCCTGAAATGAAATTTTTAGAATTCCTCTTTGTTATTCCCCAGAGGGTAATCTTCATAACCCAGCTTTGTTTGAGGGCCGAAACCCTATGGTATGGGAGATGACTGAGGAGTACCTGGAGATAGTGCACCAATATCCTTGCCCACTGTCTTATGTCAGAGCTCATCTCTTCAAGCTCTGGCATCACACGTGAGTATCTCCACAGTGCTATAGTGTTTTGAGAGGTTTCAGAGTAGCAGCCGTGTTAGTCTGTATCCGCAAAAGAACAGGAGTACTTGTGGCATCTTAGAGACTAACAAATTTATTTTAGCATAAACTTCTGTGGGCTACAGCCTCCTTCATTGGATGCATAGAATGGAACATATAGTGAGGAGATATATATACATACAGAGAACATGAAAAGATGGGAGTTGCCCAACCAACTCTAAGAGGCTAATTAATCAAGATGAGCTATTGTCATCAGGAGAAAAAAAACTTTTGTAGTGATAATCAAGATAGCCCATTTAAGACAGTTTGACAAGAAGGTGTGAGGATGTTTTGAGCGTTCACCTTGCATAGAAGTACTTTGCCTTTTGGGAGAAGGTTGGCCAATCTTGCTGGTGCTAGATTAGCCTCTCTTGGCTCTGCATGGAGAGAAAGATGTTTTCTGAGGCCTTTAACCTTCACAGATATCCCTGGGAAACTGATTCATTCTTTCTCTCTCTGAAACTGGAGAAGTACCTGCTTGCCCCTTCACTCTGGGTGCCAGCAGACATAATTAGCCTCATGAAATCTCTGATTATAGATATCCAACTACTGATATGATATTCCTAATAATGTTAAGACTTCAATCTTCTTTTGTGTAAATGAGCATGGTATCACAGAGTTCACATTCTGACCTAAGTGCGGAACCAAGTCAGAGAAGTTAGTATTTGAAGAATGAAACAGCTAAACTCTTGGCAATTGGCAAATGCGTCAAGAATAAGCTACAAAAAGCTCTTATAAAGGAATTGTTCAGTCTCACAATTTAGAAATGGTAAATGAAAGTAACTGGATGTTTGGGATTTGTCTCAGGCTGCAGGTTTACCAGCAGCTTCGTGAAGAACTGGCAAAAGCGAAGACACTAGAGGGCATTGCAGATGTCAACAGAGACCTGAAGCTACGATGCCAGGTACCAACGTGAGCCTTAACTGCTGGAGTAACACTGACCCTACTTGGAGGGAACCTGCTGGTGTCATATGCACTTGATCTGCGTTCGTGCAGTCTTGGAACTTTGTAACCTACAAACATCACTGCCTGGATAGCTAAATGTTGTACTGGCCCCTCCCATTCAAATTTCTTTCTTTAGTGTTCAGATCTGCTACGTTTTTTCCATAGCTTTATCTGAGGGTGGATTTTTTTCATTTGTAACTGTCGGTGTGTGTAAATTTAATTTAATTTTTTTTGTGCCTTTCCAGGAATTTAAGGTAGTAATGACATGGGTGCATCTAGGCAAATTGAATAGGTATCATTGGTTGTAACTGTATCCTGCAGGAGGAAATAGCTAATCAGAAAGAAGGAGAGAAGCCGAAGGGAGGATTGCCTTTCTTCCATTGGATCTGTCAGCCATACGTCAGGCCAGGGTAAGTTGCCTACTCTAGCACTGCCCCTAGGAGAATTTACTGGACAGGATGCACGAGTGCCACCACCTCAGAATACCCATTTCCAGTTTTCATGCCCTGAAAGATTGTTTATAAAAAACAAAGACTGGATAGTTTTTAAAAATAACATTTCAATGAACAAAGCAAGGTATTTGGGAGGGAGTAATTCACAAAAAGTTATCTTCCCCTTTTGATTCCTTCCTCAAGTTTATTATCTACCTCTAGAAAGTAAAAAATAAAATAGATCAAATAAAGCTTAGGATAGGGACCAGCACGTGAAGCAAATACTGCTACTTGACAATGTGCTGTAGTTACAGGCAGCATTCATCTGTTACCTATATCTGCCAGTGGAGTAGAGATGGGGACTGAATGCCCTTAATATCAGAGATGATTGTGTGTTCTGCATGAGATCTTTTTAAACTGCTAGCACGACCTACCTAGGGGGAAAACTTGGGTTGCAGGAGAAGACTATCCGACTGAGAATTTCAGTACAAACATTTACTCTGGGAACAAAAAGCTTTTTATGGAACTGACTAATTTAGCTGCCCACCATGCACTGGATACTGCTTTCCTGCCTTTTTGCTTTAATAGCAGCCTTAGAACTCTGAGCTATTCTATAAAATTAATATTTGAGCTTTTCTTCCATGCTTTTAAGGACTGTGTCTCACCTGTGACAGCCATGATAGACAATGCATTTTGCCTAGGCTTCTGTAAAAGCACTGTTAGCAAAGGAACACCCAGTTGTCCCCCTTCTGTTAATTTACAATGATGTTCAACCATTTCAGGCCAAAGGAGACGTGCAAGGAAAATGGAACCAGTGGGAGTGAAGGAGGCGTGCGAGGGAAACGAGCCCTGGAGGATGAGGATGATGGAAACGCTGATATTCTCTCAAAGAATAAACAAAAGAAAAAATTGAGAAATCCAAATAAACGCTTTGATCCGTCTTTGAAACGTAAGAGAACCTGTCCTAATCCTGATCGGCACAAGGAAGGGGAAAGGCTGCTAGCATTATCTTGTAGTATAAAGCCACCTCTACCTTCTCTTTATTCCCATTATGCAATTGGGGAAAATTTCCTACAATTAGAGCAGAAAGGGGGCTTGGGAAACCTTGGGAACAGGAAACTCAGTCTAAGTGGAGTTGACCAGGAAGAGGGGAATTCATTGTGAAAGGGGCAGATTATTACCAGTTTCACAGTGAAATCAGGTCTTTCATCTCGGAGTGCTTTATAAACTCTGTTATAACAGCTGCAGTCGCTATTGTGTAATGTTGAAATGCAGTGTCTATTTTAAACAGCTCCCCTTTCTTCTCTCCCCAACTTGTTTTATAACTTTCTCAAACAAATTCATTGGGACTGATATTTCTATGTTTGGTCTCAGTTCAGAGAATTTTTTTAAAACTTCAGCAAAATCTCTTAATCCCTTTTAATTTTTGTGTGTGTGTAAAATATTGCTCCTAAGAAATGCACCTTCTGGCTGCAAAGGTTGGTCACCCTGGAGCACTGAATTTGCTGTTCTCTTGTGGATCTCATTCACTGACTGGGATACTCATAGACCAAATTTGTTTCTCTTTTCCAGCTAAATATGCAAAATGTGATCATTGTGGAAACCCAAAGGTAGGTCTGTCCCTTCTCAAGTGTCTAGTAATGGAGGCTATTTAAACTCTGATGAAATGCAAACAATATATTCTGCTTCTCAGGCAAAGGCCATTGTGCTAATTGGACAAGTGATTATATTAGATGCTGAGATGAAGCTATTACCTAGGGTAAAGATGAGCTATAAATAGATTATTCTGGATACTTTTAATCTCTCTTCTTCCTCCAAAGAGCAGTTTTAGTTCAAACTAGAAAATCATAGTGGTCATAGAATATCAAGGTTGGAAGGGTCCTCAGGAGGTCATCTAGTCCAACCCCCTGCTCAAAGGAGGACCAATCCCCAGACAGATTTTGGCTTAGATTCCTAAATAGCCTCCTCAAGGATTGAATTCACAACCCTGTGTTTAGCAGGCCAATGCTCAAACCACTGAGTTATCCCTCCATTGATGGTTTATTGTTCTCAGCACCTCTGGTCAGCAGTTTGAATTGCTAAATCATCTGAGAGATTGTTACATTATTAAATCTCAGTCCCCCAAGCACATTTGGAAGCAAATCTCTGACCAAATGAACTTTTACTATTTGCAGCATTGGATCTCCTCTGTTTGCTAGGTAATAAAGTTCATACTGTGGTTATTTTTGTAGCTTTCTGTAAGGATTAAACATCTGAGTGATTCTCTTAATAGGTATACAAGACAGATATTTTGAACTTTCCAGTGACTGAGTAGGGAAGAGCAGTTGGCCTGCAGTAACAGCAGGAAATTAAAAGGAAAAAATACAAATGAAAGGCAAGGCACACATCAGACTGCATCAGATTTAAATGAGAATCAAACTCTATATCTGTGCCTGGTAGTGGCAGAGACAGAACTGGAGGATTCTGATCCATTCCCTTCATTAGAAGAGAAAATTAACCCTCTTCAGTGCTGAGGGTTCCACTAATAAAAAGGCATCCTACCAACTCTGAGGCTAATTAATTAAGACAAAAAAACTTTTGTAGTGATAATCAAGCCCATTACAGACAGTTTGGCAAGAGGTGTGAAAATACTTAAAATGGGGAAATAGATTAAATGTGTGTAATGGCTCAGCCATTCCAGAAAAGCGTCAAAAACAGACTCCAAAGAGAAACTGCTGAACTTGAATTAATATGCAAATTAGACACCAAGTTAGGTTGAATAGAGACTGGGAATGGCTGCATTAGCTGGCATGAGCCAGCCATGGGTGTTTAATTGCAGTGTCGACACACCCATAGTATTAAGGAAAAGGTCTGCAGCAAACAGAAAGCTGGAGCGATGAGAAACTTTGATTTGTTTCCAGTAATGGGAAAATCCCACAGTTTGAGGCCATGGTAGGATACAGTCCAGGTGGGTGGGCACTATTCAGTCCTGAGTATGAGGAAAATGTTGCCCTTAGTTACACAGATGTTCTTTAGATTAAAAAGCAGGAGCTTCCTCTAATAAGATTTTTCTTGGTTGCACAATTAATTGGTTTATTTCTCTGCTCAGTACTGAGAGGGCATTGGAATTTCACTCTGTTCTTGTGAACTAGGTTCTGCTACAGGTGGGTGAGCTCTGTGCACTTTGCCTTGATTGAGAGAGGCAAAGGTGACGGGTCATCTCGTCTCACATTATCGTTTATACTTGCTACTGTTAGCATTATTACAGTGGTAGCAATGTGCCTATTGTGCTAGAGTTTCTAAACAGCCAGCAAAAGACAACTGGCCTCAAGAGCTTCTAGGCCAAATAGACAAGACTCCCAGAATGAAGAAGAAAGGCACTGTTTGTTTTCAGAATTTGGGGTATGATGTTTTCTCAGGTAGACCATAAGAACAGCCATACTGGGTCAGACCAAAGGTCCATCTAGCCCAGGATCCTGTCTTCTGTTAGTGGCCAATGCCAGCTGCCCCAGAGGGAAAGAACAAGTAATCATCCAGTGATCCATTCCCTGTTGCCCATTCCCAGCTTCTGGCAAACTGAAGCTAGGGACATCATCCCTGCCCATCCTGGTTAATAGCCATTGATGGACCTATCCTCCATGAACTTATCTAGTTCTTTTTTGAACCCTGTTATAGTCTTGGCCTTCACAACATCCTCTGGCAAAGAGTTCCACAGGTTGTGCGTTGTGTGAAGAAATACTTCCTTTTGTTTGTTTTAAAGGTGCCACCTCTTAATTTCATTTGGTGACCCCTAGGTCTTGTGTTATGAGAAGGAGTAAATAACACTTCTTTACTTTCTCCACACCAGTCATGATTTTATAGATCTCAGTCATCTCTTTTCCAAGCTGAAAAGTTCCAGTCTTATTAATCTCTCCTCATACGGAAGCTGTTCCATACCCCTAATAATTTTTGTTGCCCTTTTCTGAACCTTTTCCAATTCCAATATATATGTTTTTAAGATGGGGCGACCACATCTGCATTCAGTATTCAAGATATGGGCATACCAGGGATTTATATACAGGCAGTATGATATTCTGTCTCATCTATCCCTTTCTTAATGATTCCCAACATTCTGTTCACATTTTTGACCTCCGCTGCTCATTGAGTGGAGGTTTTCAGAGAATGATCCACAATACTCCAAGATCTTCCTTGAGTGGTAACAGCTAATTTAGACCCCCATCATTTTATATGTATAGTTAGGATTATGTTTTCCAATGTGCATTACTTTGCATTTATCAACACTGAATTTCATCTGCCATTTTTGTTGCCCAGTCACCCAGTTTTATGAGATCCCGTTGTAGCTCTTTGCAGTCTGCTTTGGACTTCACTATCTTGAGTAGTTTTGTATCATCTGCAAATTTTGCCATCTCACAGTTTACCCCTTTTTCCAGATCACTTATGAATGTGGACTGCTCCCAGTACAGACACCTGGAGGCCACCACTATTTACCTCTCTCCATTCTGAAAACTGACCTTTTATTCCTACTCTTTGTTTCCTATCTTTTTAACCAGTTACCAATCCATGAGAGGACTTTCCCTATTATCCCATGGCAGCTTACTTTGCTTAAGAGCCTTTGGATAGGGACCTTGTCAAAGGCTTTCTGAAAATCTAAGTACACTGTAGCCACAGGATTCCCCGTTCTTCACATTACTCCTGGGAGCATTCTGCACCACTGCGCATGAGCAGAATTTATGTCCCTCGCAGATTTCTTTGCTTCCCCACAGAATAATGACTTTCTGATGGGGAAGCAAAGGGAAACCTCAGGAGTGGTAATGCAACCCTCCCTAGCAGTATGTTCCGGGGACCCAGGGCAGCTGGCAGAGAGGTAAATCACTGTGGGGCAGGAGGCTGGACTGGGGAAGACCCAGCTGGTGGCTCCTACCTTCTGTCGGGCTCAGCTGCTCATCCCGGCTGGGGCTGGGGACGATGGGACTTCCTCTTCCCTTGCATGGCATCCGGGGCTGGGTCAGGCCTATCCCCAGATTTCTCCCTCAGCTGAAGGAAGCTCTGCAAACTCCTTCTCCCCGTCCCTCCCCGCTTCCTGCACCCATCACTCCTCAGCTGTAGGGGAAGGTATCCCTGTTCAGGGAGCTGCTCCCTCATTCACTCAATCCCTGTGCATCCAGAACCCCTCATACCCAGAGCCTCCTGCTGAGCCTCACCCCCCCTGCACTCAGACCCCCCTCCCACTGAGCCCCACTCCCCCTGCACCTGGATCACCCCGACTAGCCACACGGATCTGCACACACACACACCCCAAGCCCAACCAGCTGCATCTGGACCCCCCCACACCCATCCACCCTGCTGCGCTCTATCTCCCCCCTGCACCGCCGCCTAGCCCCAAGCACCTTCACTTGGACACTGCTGCAGAGTCTCATTACAATTGCACCCAGAATCCCCCAACAAGCCCCTGTGCATCCAGATCCCCCCCCACCCCGCACCTGGTTCCCCCACTGAGCCACCTGCACTCAGATTGCCCCACACAGAACCCTCTCAACCCACACTTGGATCCTGCTTTGCTGAGCCTGCCTGCTCACACCTGGTGCACAGAAGGGCAGGGCCTTGGGGTGTTTTGGAGCAGGCCTGGTCCTTGTAGTGTGTCAGGATTGGGTGCAGCCTCACTGCTGAGTCTGTGTGCTGGTGGGAACTGCACAGTGATCTCCCCACCTCTGTGCAGCCAGTGGCCTGGGCTCCCCAATGTCATGCTGGAGCCTCCACATTTATTTGACAAATAACATTTGCAGAATTTTGCAGACTTTGAAACTATTGGGTGCAGAATTTTTAATTTTTTTGGCGGAGAATGCACGCAGGAATACCAGATGCTTGTTACCCTCCCCCCCCCCATCAAAGAATTCTAGTAGATTGGTGAGGCATGATTTCCCTTTCAAATACCATGTTGATTCATCCCCAACAAATTATGTTCATCTATGTGTCTGACACTTTTGTTCTTTGCTATAGTTTCAACGAGGTTGCCTGGTACTGAAGTCAGGTTTACTGGCCTATAATTGCCCGGATCACCTTTGGAGCCCTTTATAAAAATTGGTGGCACATTAGCTATTCTCCAGTCATTTGGTACAGAAGTTGATTTAAATGATAGGTTACATACCACAGTTAGTAGTTCTGCAATTTCACATTTGAGTTCCTTCAGAACTCTTGGATGAATAACATCTGGTTCTGATGATTTGTTACTATTTATCAATTTGTTCCAAAACCTCATCTAATGACACCTCAATCTAGGACAGTTCCTCAGATTTGTCGCCTAAACAGAATGGGTCAGGGGTGGGACTCTCCCTCACATCCTCAGCCATGAAGACCGATGCAAAGAATTCATTGTTTCGCCGCAATGGCCTTATGGTTCTTGAATGTTCCTTTATCATCTCGATCGTCCACTGGCCCCTCGTGTTGTTTAGCAGATGTCTTACTTCTGATGTACTTAAAAAAAATTTTGCTTTAACTTTTTGAGACGCAATTATGATGCTTTCCACTCACAGTTGGGTTTGCCCTTAGCCCATTTGACTGAGAATGCTAAATCCTCCAGTAGTCTGACTTGGATTTGGTCAGTGGAGTGCGTCACTAAGCAGTATTATTTTGGCTGTGTATCTAGCTGGATTTATTATTGTTGTTTGGGGCCCAGGAGGACTACAATCATGATTGGGGCCTCACTGTGCTGGGCTATATACAGCCATGAATAAAAAGATTTGCACCAAAGATTTTAGACTTTAGGTTAGGGCAAGACACAGTAGGTCGATGAGATGCACAAATGGGAGGGAAGCAGACAAAGCCCTGGCTGGCATGATTTAGTTGGGAATTGGTCCTGCTTTGAGGAGGGGGTTGGACTAGATGACCTTTTGAGGTCCCTTCCAATCCTGATATTCTATGAACTAGATACCAATAAGGCAAGCAAGTTATTGATCCATAAGCATGTTTTATCAGGTTTCCTAGCCAGGTAACTGGAGCTTTAGGGAAGCGTTTAAGTGGGGAGACTAAGCTGGGGGCACTATAAAGAGGCAGTTGTTAATCAGGAAAAAATCTCTCTGAGCACATAAAAGCTGTAATAAAAGCATTTCCTCATTGCTGAATAGAACAGAAAGCCTCAGTGGTCTCTTGAGTGGAGGGGAGTGTCAGCTCCACTGTAGTTAAGCTGTGGGCACCCTTTCTGTTTAAAAGTCAACTCTTCTGAGTGCTCTAAAATTGGCTTGCTTACTTAGCTCGGGGTGCAATTTGGGGTGCCTCATGGGTTTGTGGGCTAGGATTAGCTGCTTTCAACTACCTGAAAGGGGGTTCCAAAGAGGATGGATCTAGACTCTTCTCAGTGGTATCAGATGACAGAACAAGGCATAATGGTCTCAAGTTGCAGTGGGGAAGGTTTAGATTGGATATTAGGAAAAAAACTTTTTCACTAGGAGGGTGGTGAAGCACTGGAATGGGATATCTAGGGACATGGTGGAATCTCCTTCCTTAGAGGTTTTTAAGATCAGCTTGACAAAGCCCTGGCTGGTCCTGTTTTGTGCAAGGGGGTTGGACTAGATGACCTCCTGAGGTCCCATCCAACCCTGAGCTTCTGTGACTAGTGATCCAAATTTGGGGGTCATTTGAGCAAGCGTTTCCAGAAATTACTTTTTTTTTTTCTTTGTATTTCACGAGAGAGCTGTAGTTCATAAGGTTGACATTCTATCAATGTGTCTTCCTGCAGACTGTTGAAGGGGGAGGGAAGGATGGGGGGGGAGAGTTGTCAAACCATGGCTCTGAGTTTTTCCCCACATGGTCTCAAGTGCTCGCAGTTACCCTGGCTACTGCATAGGCCCCCACTGCCCCTTCTGGGACACAATATTGAAAATGTTATTCAACGAAGTGTTGAGTCTAGGTCTAATGTGCCCAAGGGATTACATTGTGCAAGTGTAGAAAGGGTGGTGAGCCAGCCCATTGTCACTGGACAGAGGTGGCTCCAGGGGCCATGCTGTGGTGGTTGAACCTGAGCTAGAACCAGCCAATATAAATTCAGCAGCCACCCTTGGCAACAATCGGAAAAAAATGAAACAAACCTGTTGCTACACCTTGCCTCTGCCAAAGGGGAGTTTTATTTATAATTTGAGCATAGCAGACCATTTCGACGGTACACACACTAGTTTAAAAAAGAAAAGAAATTACATAGCCAAATGTTTGCTGGGCGGGGAGAGGGCTAAATGGGGCACGGTGGTTAGGGAGGGGAGGTGCTGAGGACTCAGGTCAGAGGGAGGACCCCAGGGAACAGTGATGCTCCACATTCCTCCTGTGTCTGTGTTTCAGGCTCTGGTGGTCCCTGCCATGCTGATGGTGTCAGACAGTCTGAGCCCCTTACTCTGAGGGGAGCCAGATGCTGGGGAGGGAAGCTAATCCCCTCTCCTTACTGCATTTCATGGGAATTGGCCCTTGGGGATGGGGATGGGGGAGGAAGCCAATCCCCTCTCCTTACTGCGTCTCATGGGAACTGGCCCTTGGGGATGTGGAGGAGCAGGGTGGGTCTGAAGCCCTTTCTCTGCCTCTTCTCATGTAAGCAAGTTGGGGGCCCTGTTCCTCTGAAGGGGCCTTTGGCTCATCATGTGAATCAGCATTTGTGGAAGCCCTGACCCATTATGGGGGGAGTTGAGAACAAGCGTACCCCAAGCATTAGGGCTGAGAGTGAGGTGAGAATGGGCATGCTGCATGTATAGCACATGCTGTCAAGCAATGGTAAAGGGGAGGCTGGATGAGCACACCAATGGCGTTAAATGGAGCAGTTCCGACCTATCAAGAGCTATTGTTTCACACTGTTTACACCTCCAGGGAGTATTCTCATTCAACTGAGACGATCTCAGCCTTATACACTGAAGCTGGATTTGTCATTGCAGCATAGGTGATCTGGGTTCTGTTTTTGGCTCTGTCAGTGGCCCGCTAGAAAAATCATGACACCTCTGCCTCAGTTTCCCCATATGTAAAATGGGGCTAAAGGTACTGACCTACCTGTCACCCATATCTGAGATGAGGTAATGGGAAATGCATGAGGGATGAGTACCTAACCCTAGGAGGATTTATAGGAGAAAACTACAACTGCTGGAGTGAGCATTCCTCCAAAAAACAGTGTTCATAAAATTACAAAATTCATGGACAAAAACTCTTTCATTAGTGATGTTCCAGTGGTACAGGGTTGTTGCATGCTTGTCCAGGCTAGCATGGTCAGTGGTGCTCAAATGTCTGAAAAAACAGCAACTGAAGTGATAAGGCACACACCCCTGCACACTTTTTTATATGATTCATATTTGCAGAATTCTCAGGGACTATATGTAACTGTAGGACAGATTCTAATGTCATATTGTTGCTAAGGCAAAACTCATGTTTAGGCAAACTCTGTGGCACAGGGAGCTACATATGCCTGTCCTACACAAATACTGAGCCTAAGCCCCAGAAACAGTCAGAAGTGCAAATTGTACACCACCATCATCCCCTTTTTACAAACCATTCACTCTCAGCCACCGGATCCCAGCAAATGCTACACTTTCATTTAATCATTAACCCCCGCACAAATCACTCTCATACCACACCTCACTGCTGACAAGCCTCCTGGCAAAAAAGAACCCATGCACTGTGCCTGACAACTTGCAGAACTCAGCACTGAAATGAGGCACTCGAGCCCCTCAAGGTACACATGCACCTCTTTTCTTTGATCTCACACAGCAGTGGGCAGAGATAATTCAGACCAAACAAGGAGGGATTTCCTCCTGTCACAGTTGCAGCTCTGCCCTGCTCATCAAACTAATCCCCAGATATTCTCATCTCTCACCTGCAGCTCTGCCAAGCCTGCTGCAAGTAATCCTGTCATTATTCACTCAAGTACACCAGAGTGACTGCATTTCAGCATGCATGCAGCTAAGTCCCAGTGGCAATTTCCAGGGGGGGAGCAGAGTTAAGGTGGTATTGGCCTATACCTTATTGCTTCATGCCCTCATTTTCAGAAATTTGACTTGCCGGAATGGCATGAGACACAACAGCACAACCCTAACTGCATTAGGTTTATTGTTTTGTCAATAAACCTAAGACTAACCTTTGTCAGTTTTTTCTGCTGTAGCACTATCTAGAAATATTTGCACTCAAATCATGTTGCACAAACTTCCCCCAACCATGAAAGCCAGAAAAGAGCTTTACAGATACGAAATCTGGCAGATACTTTTTCCCCCTTCCTGTGCACACGCAGTCTGTTATTCCTGAGCTGCAAAATATCCACGACTCGTCGTCGCTCCCCTGCAGAGGATGGGTCATGCCTTATGTGATTACTCTCCATGATTTGGGCAATTTTAGGCATTAAAAAAAGAGGAAATGATTTCCTTGAAATGATGAGTATTTATTTTGGGTGGAGCGGCAGCCAAAGACAAGAAATAAGAGGCCATGGCACTTTTTTCACATCAAGCTTCTGAAGAGAAGTAGGACAAACTCCAGTTATAACAGCATAAAAATGCTTTCTGAAAGGGTTTCAAAGTATCTTAATTTCCTACACGTATTTGATGTTAATCAAGAGTATTTCCTGATTGGCAGGAGAAATTCCTGGGAGGTGGAATATCATCCTTCTGGGATGGTAATTATCACGTAGCAGCACAGAGCATTTACCCAGCAGGCAGGTCTTCATTTTTGCATTCCCCCCCCCGACCCCGGTCTCCCTATCGTTTATCAAGCGCCTGAATACTGACTGTCCCCATCACTGTTTTCAGGAACCCAGACCATGACAGCTGTCTTTAGAAGCCCTGCATGCATCCTTGCAGTTGTGCTTCCCATAAGCAGTTCAGATTTTTTTTTCACTGACTTAACTGGTGTATATCTGTTTCCAGGGTAACAAATGTGTGTTTAATCTGTGCCGAGGATGCTGTAAGAAAAGAGCATTTAAAGAGACTGCAGACTGTCCAGGCAAGTATAGCCCCACCACTCCATCCTGTTCTTTGGCACCATTGGGCCTGTATAAAAACAAACTGTCCAAGTCAAAATGACTGATTAATACATATGGAAGTGGTATGACATTTTAATGTCCTTTGTTAATATGCATAATTGCAGTAGTTTTAGAAATATTAGTTTAAAATCCTGAGTGTCTTAGCTTTCATGGAAATGTTTTACTTAACATTGGCCACTGTAGTAGAGCACTAACATAACACCAGCATCTGCTCTTATGGAGATATACCTATCTCATAGAACTGGAAGGGACCCTGAAAGGTCATCGAGTCCAGCCCCCTGCCTTCACTAGCAGGACCAAGTACTGATTTTGCCCCAGATCCCTAAGTGGCCCCCTGAAGGATTTAACTCACAACCCTGGGTTTAGCAGGCCAATGCGTGCAGCATCTCCAAGCTAAAAGCATAATAAATTTTCCACAGCCGCATATAGTTACCCCAGGGCAGTGGCTGCTCTGTTCCCCACTGATCAGGCACTTCAGTGTCAATTTATTATTTAACTTTCTTTGTCAGGTCATGGATTACTTTTTAAAACCAAATATGAAAAGTCCCTTCTGTGGAAAAGTGGCCAACCAGAGATGCAGAAGATTGAAAGGACACAGAAAGAGGATGTGGAGGAAACTGCTGGACTGAAAGAGGGTATTGACACTGTACTGTGAGCCTTCAGACTAGATTCTACTGGATCTGCTTCCCTGTCTCTGTTTCCCTAGGCCAAAGAATCTGCCATTCCAGAGCACCATCAGCAGCCTGGAGTAGTTCCACAGGTTTGTTCTAAGGTCTGGACAAGTTTTATTTAAGGAAAGGCTGCTTACTCAGGGAAATATCCTGCCTTTGAATAGAAGGATACAACTAAAGTTCTCAATGTCTTTTAAAGACTTTAAAGGACTCAGCCAGAAGCACTGGCCTGAAAATGCTGCACTGGGGTGGGGGGGGAGATGATGTACTAAGGTCATGAACTGCCTGTTGTACATTAACCCTTCATGTGCTGTTTTAAAAGCAGGGAATAAATCTTTGATATTAGAACATCCTGCTGGAGTGTTAAACTAATATTTCTTCAGGAATATAGTATGTTCAGCATCTGGGTGCAAGTCACTTAAATGACATTTTTAGGTCAGGAAGGAAGCTAAGTATTTAAGGACAGTCGCATTTAGTGACTAACTCTCCGTAGTGTTACTCTAATGAATAGGAGGTTCTAGTGTGCTAGGCTCTGTACATATATATATATATATATATATAGTCAAAAAAATGAGTCTCGGAGACGAAAACAAAGGGTGGTCAAAAGGAAATAAAATCCAGATTTTATAAGTGGAGAGCAGATACACTTAGAGGTTAAGAGACTGGTCCAAGGTCACACAACTATCTGGCAGAGCCAGGAATTCATAGTCATAGAAATGTAGGGCTGGAAGGGACCTCAAGTGGTCATCAAGGCCAGCTGCCGAGGCTGGACCAAGTAAATCTAGACCATCCCTGGGAGGTGTTTTTTCAACCTGTTCTTAAAAACCTCCATTAACAGGAATTCCACAACCTTCCTTGGGAGCCTATTCAAGAGCTTATCTATCCTTATAGTTAGAAAGTTCTTCCTGACATCTAACCTAAATCTCCCTTGCTGCGTGTTAAGGCCATTACTTCTTGCCCTACCTTCAAGGGAGATGGAGAACAATTGATCACAGTTGTCTTTATAATAGCCATTAGCATATCTGGAGAGATAGCAGGTCCTCTCCCAGTCTTCTTATTACAATACTGAACAGGTTCCTTTTTTTTTTTTTAAACCCTTTCCTCATAGGTTGGATTTTCTGAACTTTTTATCATTTTTGTTGCTTGCCTGTGGACTCTCTCCAATTAGTCCATATCTTTCCTAAACTATGGCATCCAAACTTGGATGCTGTAGTCCAGCTGAGGTCTCACCAGGGCCAAGTAGCACAGGACAATTACCTCCAGTGTCTTACATATGACAGTCCTGCTAATACACCCCAGAATATTAGCCTCTCTTGCAACTGCATCACATTGGTGACTTATTCAATTTGTGAGCCACTATAACCCCCAGATTCTTTTCAGCAATATTTCCACCTAACTACTGATTTCCCCTGTTGTAGCTGTGCATTGGATTGTTTCTTTCTAAGTGTAGTACTTTGCACTTGTCTTTATTGAGTTTCCTCTTTCATGGTGACTTGCTTGCCTGGTGCGAAGGTCGCAGATCTCTTGAGGCATCTAGACAGACTTATGTGTAGTGCTGGGGAGGAGCCTGTGGTCGTGGTACATGTAGGTACCAATGACATAGGGAAGGGTAGGAGAGACGTCCTGGAGGCCAAATTTAGGCTGCTAGGGAAGAGACTGAAATCCAGGACCTCTATGGTGGCATTCTCAGAAATGCTCCCAGTTCCACGCGCAGGGCCAGGTAGGCAGGCAGAGCTTCAGAGTCTCAATGTGTGGATGAGACGATAGTGTAGGGAGGAGGGCTTTACATTCATTAGGAACTGGGGAAACTTTTGGGATGGGGGGAGCCTATACAGGAGAGATGGGCTCCACCTAAGCCAAAGTGGAACCAGACTGCTGGTACTAAACATTAAAAAAGTTGTAGAGCAGTTTTTAAACTAGGAGATGGGGGAAAGCCGACTGCTGCAGAGGAGCATGTGGATCGGACAGAGACTTCTCTTAGGGGAGAGTCTAATGATAGAGACTCTCCAGGTTATAGTCAGGAGCAGAGGATGGAGGAGGATAATGTAAGGGCCAGATCAGATGATAAACATTCACATAAAAAAGAATCTAACACATCAGAAAATGGCAGACAAATAAACAGTGACAAGTTTTTAAAGTGCTTGTACACAAATGCTAGAAGTCTAAATAATAAGATGGGTGAACTAGAGTGCCTTGTGATAAAGGAGGATATTGATATAATAGGCATCACAGAAACCTGGTGGACTGAGAGCAATCAATGGGACATAATCATTCCAGGGTACAAAATATATTGGAAGGACAGAACAGGTCGTGCAGGGGGGGAGTGGCACTATATGTGAAAGAAAATGTAGAATCAAATGAAGTAAAAATCTTAAGTGACTCCACATGTTCCATAGAATCTCTATGGATAGAAATTTCATGCTCTAATAAGAATATAACATTAGGGATCTATTATAGACCACCTGACCAGGACAGTGATAGTGATGATGAAATGCTAAGGGAAATTAGAGAGGCTATCAAAATTAAGAACCCAATAATAGTGGAGGATTTCAATTATCCTCATATTGACTGGGAACATTTCACTTCAGGACAAAATGCAGAGATAAAAATTTCTCAATACTTTAAATGACTGGTTCATGGAGCAGGGGGGGAGGCAACTCTAGATTTAGTCCTGAGTGGAGCGCAGGAGCTGGTCCAAGAGGTAACTATAATAGGACCGCTTGGAAATAGTGACCATAATACAATAGCATTCAACATCCCTGTGGTAGGAAGAATATCTCAACAGCCCAACACTTTGGCATTTAATTTTAAAAGGGAGAACTATGCAAAAAT